AAGAAAAGACAGGAGGAAGGAAAAGGTAGGTAGGTAGGTGCACCCGTTTTTTTTTTTTTTTTTTCCTAACTTTTTTTTTCCTTTTCTGTTTCCCCTTTTTATGTCTTTTGTCATTTTTTTAGTTAAAAAAATCGCGCTACACGTATTCGGGGTATATAGAAACGACACATCGTTTTGCTTCGGCAGATTATGGGCCTCCTCGGGCCGCGGCACACGAAAAGAAAAAGGAACGAGTCCATCTGCCCGCAGAAGGTGGCGAAGTACATTCCTTAATATTCATAGTCAGTGAATGAATCTTTCCAGTTTCTGCGGGAAGATGCACTCGTTTCTTTTCTTCCGTTTCGTGTGCCGTTTGGGAAGGCCCTATGTCGTGGATTACGTGCGAATCGCCTTTTTTGTTGTGTATTGCGCGGATCACGTTTTCTGTCGTGTTGTGCGCTAATCACAATTTTTGTCGCGTAGTGCAAATCTGAAGTCCATCCAAAAATAATAACAATTAAAAAAAAATTTCCACTCCAAAACAATTCGTGCGGCAGATTTGCACTCACAAGTTGAAATGCGACGGAATGTAGTTGGAATCGCAGGCCGATGCATTCTCATACCCCTGCTGTGAGTCGCCGTTGCTAGTGTGTGTCGAACAATTGGTGGTGAATGTAATGGATTGCGATTCCGACTACAATCACGGAAGCGGAACCCTCTGCGCTTGCTGATGCTGTTGCTGTTGCTCTCCGCTTCCTCCTCTTCTTCCTCCTACTCCTACTCCTGCTCGTTCTCTTCCTCTTCCTCCTCTTCCTCCTCCTCCTCCTCCTCCTCCTTGTTGTCTCCTCCTCCTCCTCCTCCTCCTCCTCGTTGTACTCCTGCTCCGCTCATGTCTTCTTCTCCTCCACCGCCTTCTCCTCCTCGTCGTCCTCCCCTTCCTCCTCCTCCTCCTCCTCCTGCTGCTGCTGTGAATGTAGTCGGAATTGCAGTCCGATGCATGCACATACAAAATCCTTCTGTGAGTCGCGGATGCTAAGTGTGTGCAAAATTCGGACGCGAATGCATTGCACTGTGATTCCGACTACATTCACAGCAGTGGAACCCTCCGCGCTTGCTGGTGCTATTGCTATACTCCTCATCGTCGTCGTCGTCGTCGTCCTCCTCCTCCTTGTTAATCTCCTCCTCCTCCTCCTCCTCCTCCTCGTTCTTCTTCTCCTCCTCGTCCGTCTACTCCTCGTTGTTCTACTACTACTATCCTCCTCCTCCTCCTCCTCCTCTTCGTCCTCCTCCTCCTTTTGAGGGCATACCCATAGAATCAGCTCTAGTTTGCTTTCAGCTGGTCATCTTGCATGGGGTTTTGTTCTCTCTCACGCTATGCTGTGCGTTCTTTTATATCTCTCTCTTTCTCTCTCTCTCTCTCTCTTTTGCTCTGACCTTCCAACGGTTTTCTCTCGTACAGAACGCGGGACCTGATGGATGATCGGTGCCTTGAATATGAAAATCAATGGGCGCTATGAATATGTGGAAGAGGTTTGGGTTCAGGTACAGCCAGAGTGCTTCATGAAGTGCGTCCATCTCCCCACGGCGCGCCGTTGCGCGCCGTGCTCTTTTTCCTTTTTTTTTAGAAAAGGAGAGGGAGAAGATATAAATAGAGAAAGAATAAAAAAATTAGATAGAGAATAAAAAAGATAAATACTAAGTAGAGCTGCCTGTGCAATGGTCTTTGAAAAGAAAAAAAAAGGAAATACCGCAAGGGGTTTTCGCGAATAGCCTGTTGGCAGATTTTCCTTTTTTTTTTTTTTTAAAGGCGTTTTTTTTGTTTTTGGGACTTTTGGCAGAATGATGTTCTGTGTGGAGAAAGAAAATAGATAGCACACACAAGTAGGAATGACAAAAGGAGTCCAGTGGGAGTATAGCGTGCGGTTTTAGAGAAACAGGAAAAGTGTAGCGTGCGGTTTTAGAGGAAGAGAAGTGGGGGGTTGGGAAGGAGAACAGGCGGCACGAATGTACTACGACGTGGTTGTGAGAAAGTGCGCAGGGGGAATGAACCCTCGGGAGCGCACAGAGGAGAGAGAGAGAGAGAGAGAGAGAGAGAGAGAGAGAGAGAGAGAGAGAGAGAGAGAGAGAGAGAGAGAGAGAGAGAG